TGGGGTGTTGTCAGTCAGATCAAGGTGTCAGCTGTGCTGAGTCCCACTGATGCTGAGAGAGGAACTGCCCAGTCCTCTCTCCTGGGTTCTGGTTGTTGTTGTTGTTATGTGCCATCGAGTCGGCCCTGACTCACAGTGCCCCCTCCTTGGGTTTCCGAGGCTGTATCACTGCAGAGGTAGATGGCCCTGCCTCCCTTCCTAGGGGTGCTGGGCTTCCCGTGGCCTGCAGCTGCAGCACCCAATGGTGGCCTGTCTTTGTCCCCCTTTCTCTGTGTACCTTCTCCTCTTTTTAGGCAGACTAGTCCATAGGAGCTCTGGTAGCATCGTGCCTAAGGCACCACCAGCCACTCCTTGGAAGGAAGATGGGGCAATTTACTTCCTTAGTGATACCCCCTTAGAAACCCAAGGAGAGGGCACTATGAGTTGGGTCCAACTCAAAGGCACATAACAACAACAACAACAGTCAGACTGGACTAGGACATCCCCCACTCCAGAATGATCTCATGTTAACTGATCACATCGTTAAAGACCTTATTTCCAAACAAGCTCACATTCATAGATACGGGGTTAGGGCATGTTGACATGTCTTATTGGAGGACAGAATCCCACCTGTCACATTGGACCATCAGATGATCCCCCATCTCAAGGTCCTTTACTGATACTCATCTGCAAACTCCTTTTAGCACATAAGGTAACAGATTCACAGGTCCCAAGGCCCTAGCAATTAGCATGTGAACATCTTTGGAAGGCCACTGTTCAGTCAATCTCACATACATAGTGCATTTAATCCTCACAATAAACAAGAGGAAGGCATAGACTACCACCCTGTTTTCAGATGAGGAACTTGGAAAAACAAACATTCAATAACTTGTCTAAAACCACCTAGTTGAGAAGTGGCAGAGGTGGGATTTAAACCTGGGAAGCCCAGACTGGGTGGTCTATCTACACCACTACTGAATCTTGCTTCTCTAGACATAGCAGCCATTTTCTCTTCCATCTGATAGACGAATATGACAAAAGAACTTCCATATCCTATACCAACAAACTCACTGAACTAATCAGAGTCAAAGACACTGTTCTATACCAAGCCTTTTCTTTCCTGGTTTTTGTTTTGCCCTTTTGCAATAGACCACATTTTTTTTCTTTTCTTTTCTTTTTTTTTCATTTTCTCAGAAACACATGCAGATAATGGAAAATGTGTTGCCATGACTGCCTGTCAATATGGCGGCCTGCACGTTATTCCCACAGAGGTAGGTCTGTTCCCCTCTCTGGAAGCTGGGCCTTGAGACTTGCTTTGACCAGTGGAATGTGGATGATGTGACCCAGTGCTTAGCCCTTAGGAAGCCCAGGACCTCCTACTACCTCACTCTTGGTGACCGAGCTGCCTTTTGAGTTCAGCTGGGCACAGAGAGTGTCTCCCCATTGCCTGACACCCACAGCTGCCTTCAGTCAGCCCATCCACTGCAACCAAGAGACCAGATATGTGTGGAGATGTCTTGATGTCCCAGCCTTAGCTGAGCTCTCAGATGAACGCAGTTTCATGGACGACCCCAGCCAAGCCCAGCTAACCAGAAACCAAGAAGGAATAAGGCATTGCTGTCTAAAGTCACTAAGCGTGGACTTCTTCACAGTGGAGCACTGTCTAACTGAAATTAGATACAGCAAAGCCTATGAAGGTTTGAAACTATATAAGGTGGAAACCCGTCGAGAAGGAAAACACAAATATTTTCCACTAAAATAAGCAATAGACAAGGGCTAAGACTGCACCCTGTCAAAGTGGAAAACATGCAGCACCTGGAAAAACAAGGGTGACCCGTCCAGCTCTGGTTCTCATTACAATTGGAAAATCCACTTTGAAAAAGAAGTCACACATTATGTATCCCTCACCCAGGCAGCAGTAGAATACTGGGGACAATATTGTTAAGTTATTGCTGGCCTCCAGGTTGGTATTCTGTCCCAAATACTATGCCTGTATATAACTCAGGGCCATACCAACTTCATCACAATTATCCTGGTACCAAATGAGACAAAAGAATATAGGTATTTTTTTTCCCCAAAAATAGCATTCCATTTTTCTTTCCCTTGTCTCCGAGCAGTGCCATCACAGCCCTTCAATGCCCTGAGCCAGGGACTCTGCCAGCCCTTGTGATGCTGCAGCCTCTGCCCTCACAGCTGGGGCCTGCCAGCTCCCGGGGTGGCTCAGTCACAGGGCAAGCACCAAGTCCGTGCAGTCCAGAGCCACAGGGAGACACAGCGTCCTTGTGCAGAACCTGGGGAAAATGTGCAACTGATCGACTGGGGTGCTAGTCCCACCTAATTTACCTTGGTACCCCTGGCCTGTGCCTTGTCCCTGACAACAAGCCACTGCCTCATATGACCATCATATGACCACTCATTTTTTTAAAAAAAGTTTCTAGGCTCTAGGATCCCAGTCAACTGCTTACTAATGTGTTTAGTGCCTCTAACTCCCAGTTTGCTACATACCACCTGGGCTCTTAAAGGCTTGCAAGCACCCATCCAAGGCACAATACCTGGTTTCTATTCACCTGGAGAAACAGAGCAAGAAGTAGAGTCAGAAATAGGAGGAGAATATGTAATGTGTGGCTAATTGCCTATATGAACAACAGCCTCATTTGCCATGAGACCAGAACTAGACAGTGCCCAGCTACTATCAATGAACATTTTCATCAAAGATTGTATAAAAGAATCCTGATAAAAAGGCAGAAAATGCCAAACAGAATTTCACAATCCCATGGAATCCAGACTCTTGGGGCCCTGAGATCATCACTAAACCTTTAATTAAAAATATCCTCTGAAATAACCTCCTATTTGGTTCTTCAAACCAAATAGTTTAGCTTGACTAGTAAAGACTGATAGCATAGTGCCTAAGGCACCTGACTGCTAACCAGAAGGCTGGAGGTTCAAACCCACCAGCCACTCCTCAGAAGGAAGATGGGGCCATCTACTTCCGTAGTGATACTGCCTCGGAAACCCAAGGAGGGGTCGCTATGAGTCGGGGCCGACTCGACAGCACATAAAAACAACAACAAGAAGTAAAGACTGTCATTGGGCATATGTTCTTTGAAGAATTATCTGTAAGGGACCAAAGAGATAACAGCAACTTGAAGAATCAGCAAATTTCGACAACAGGGAGTTTATGTAAACGGGGGAGGAACAACTCAGAAAAGGAGGGTGAGAGTGGCTGCACCACTCAAAGGAGGTCATCAGCATCGCTGAATGGTACGTGGAGGAACAGGCGAATCGGTGTGCGTTCTGCTGTGCAGATTCTCAACAAACATACATCAGTCCTTTGCATACAAAGGTCCCAAAGCGGCAGTACTGACTCACGGCAACCCTGGAGGCACCAGAGTCGTACTGAGCTCCGGAGGGTTTTCAGTGGCTGCTTTTTGGAAGTAGATTGCCAGGCCTGATTTCCGCGGCCCCTCTGGGTGGATGGGAACCTCCAACCTTTCAGTTAGCAGCTGAGCAGGCTAATGCACCATCAGGGACCCTTCATAGGTAGCATTTATCGGACATTTACTGTGTGTCACTCCCTATCCTGAGCCCTTTCCATTAATAATCTCTAAAACAAAACCATGAGGAAGATGGATTTTTATCTCCTCCTGCAGGTGAGGCAATGAAGCTCAAGCACTGAAAAGACTCTAGGAGCCACACAAGTAGTTCCTGGCAATGGGAGGGTTCAAAGCCACCTGAGGGAAAACCCTGATCCCTGTGTGGACTGCACGGACCTTTCCCTGGTGCAGAGAGGGGGAGGGGCGCACAAAGGAGGGAACTTCAGGCTTCTTGAATCCCCCTGAACCTTCATAGGTCACAGAAGAGTGGGTGGCCACCTCCACCCAACCTCAGATCTCGGATTGCTTCCCAGGAAAGAGAGGACTGGAGAGGAACTTCCTCTGGCCAGAGGCAGGGGAGAAGCAGTGGGCAGCAAACTCTTTCTTTCTAGATCTCAGAAGGGAAAGTTCGCCTGCTACCCAGAAATTATAGGCCTTCCTTGATGTCCTCTTGTGTGACCCCAGCCGTCAACTGTGCCATACCTCTTCCAAGATGGAGCTAAGCCACTCAGTGCATCCACACCTCTAACTTCTGACTCTTCGACTGCAGATGACTTCATTCACTACAATATTGCTGCAAACGGGGTAGTGGTCCAATGGCCAGGACAATCCCAATGAAACATCTGAAACACAGCTGTGACCACAACTCTTAACTCCACCAAACTTGATGTCTATAACGTTCCTGGCTACCCTTTCTTTTATAACTACTGTTATGCATAATTTCTACAGTTCTATCTTTTTAACTCCTACTTTCTCTCTTTCCCATCCCTATATCTTTCTCCTCACTCTATGATCTGGATGATACACATGGTTTTCCCAAATAGCCTAACGTAAAACCTCCTTATACTTGCACTAGTTAACCTTGATGCCTATCCTTACTCTGGAAGTAATGAGTTTTAAGGTTCTGACTCACGTTTTATTATGCTGAGTACCTGCTGGGACCCTGGGATATCCACTTAATATAGCGTTAGGACCCTGAGTTGGCCTTGGCAATTTTTCTCCCTGAGGTGGGGGCACAGCCTTTGGACCCCACGCGCTTAACAGAACATGGCATGGAGCATCTCACTCACCGAGCCCTCTGGGTACCTACATAATTACCAGATTCTTCTTGACCCCAGGCTTCCCATCAACCACCTACTGGATGCCATTCCCCAACTTCTTCCTCCCTGACTTGACTTTAGCTAATCCTCCACAGCCCAGTGTATCCCAAGCACAAGCTGCTCCTGGAGCAGTGGTTCCTTCTCCAACAATGGACACACCTTGCCACTTCCAACAAAGGGTCTCCATTTCCAACATATGTTCATCCAACACTCAACAACGATTTACCAAGTGGCCCTGCATGGCAGACACTCTGCTCCATCCTAGAGTACAGTGGTAACTAAAGGTTATCAATGGGCAACCAGCACCTACTGCTGCCTATCTGCTCACCTGTCTGCCCAACGATGGATGCACTCAGTCTGTGGGGAATCCTTGAGGACACCTTCAAGGTCATGCGGATCTGGTAGTACCTGAGAAAAGAGCAGAAAAGAGGCCACTAAGGATTGGGCTTCTTATTGTTAGCTTCCTCTACACAGGCTTGGATTTAATCTTGAAGACCATGGTGAAAAGGGAAGTTTCTACACAGCACACATGATCCATCGTCTGGCATCAAAGACAGATTCATTCTGTAGCTAAGTGGGAGAGGAAGGGGAGGAGCAAAGCTGGAGGCAAGAAGCTGAGTTCACTTCAGATGTAGGGTGAACCTGAGCATGGCTGCTGGAGACAGGAATAGAGAACAGGAAGAGATGGGTCAGGAGACAGAGGTACACTAATGGGCACATTAAGGACTGTATGCTTTCCATATTTAGACAGAAAAGTCTACTGTTACAGGCATATAAACCAAAAACCCCACCAAACCTGTACTACTGAGTCAACTCCGACCCAGGGGGCCCCATGTTAGAATAGAACTATGCCCCTGGGCATCAAGGAAGGCCTATAATTTCATCTTAACAAAGAAGACCACCAGGCCTTTCTTCATGGCACCACTGGGAGGGTTCAAACAGCTGACCCTTAGGTAGTAGACAAGCACAAACATATGTGCCAGGGACCTAGTTATCGGCATGATGGGTTTTCAATGCATGCTGGCCAATCTGTACAGAAACTCAGCTGCCATCATGCTCCAATACAAATACCTTTGGAAGTACTGCCACTGAGTCGCTCACTGCACTGCACTTCACCACGCTTTGCAGATAGTGCAATCTTTACAAATGCAAGGGTCGTGGCAACCCTGCATCAAGCAAGTCTACGTTCGCCATTTTTCCAACAGCCTGTGCTCACTTCACGTCTCTGTGTCCCATTTTAGTCATTCTTACAATATTTCCAGCTTTTTCATCATGCTGTTGCACACTTAATGGACTATAAAAACCAACTGCCGTGGAGTCAGATCCAACTCATAGCGACCCCTCCTTGGGATTCTGAGGCAGTATCACTATGGAAGTAGATTGCCCAACCTTCCTTCTGAGGAGTGGCTGGTGGGTTTGAATCACCAGCCTTCTGGTTAGCAGTCAAGTGCCTTAGGCCCTATGCCACCAGAGCTCCTGACAGACTAAAGTAGAGTGTAAACATCACTTTTACAGGCAAAAAAAAAACCCAAAACTCCGTGTGACTCGCCTTTTGTGCTATCCACTTTAGTGAGATGATCTGGATCCGAACCTGCGATATCTGAGGTGGGCCTGCACTCCTGAGGGGAAGGCAGGCGCTTGCTTCAATGAGTTTCTGAGCCATCACTGTCAACATGTCACTCCCGTTCTCATTCAATATGTCAGTCCCATCACTTCAGGATATCATCCTCATTCCCTGGATGTCAGCTAATCCCTCCTGCTGGGCCCTCTTTCCCACAGGGACTAAAAGCATTTTTTGAAGTTCTCTCTTTTGCAATGAGTAACACTTTTGTTTGCAAGCACCTGGGACATCTCTGGCCTCCCAGTTCTTCCTTCTACTGACTGCAAACTCCCTGCAAAATGGAACGTGGACAGCAGATAGTGAAACAAGAAGAACAGCATGAATACCTCAGCCTGCATGGCCCATGGAGCTCACATCACAATGAATCCCCGACTGCCTCAGCTGCCCTGTGCACACTCAGGGGGTCCTGCTGGCAGCCATGTGTTACTTTTTATCCAAATATGATGATCACAGGCATGTGGAGGAAAGGGCCTGGTAGCCCCTGCTGGCTGTGTGCCTCTGAGCACACCACGTAACTTCTCTGAACGTGCACCTATCTCTAAAACTCAGGGGG